CCGGGACTCTTGGGGCTGGCTGGCTGGTCCCTCGGATCAGCTCTGGAGGAAGGATTTCGCGTGCAGGCTTAGCCTCCTCCTTTCACAGAGATACGGCTCCTGCGAAGGGGTCCCAGTAGGTGACATTGACGCCTGGGCATCGTTGTCTGCAGGCAGCCTGTCACGGCTTGAGTTTCTCCTCCATTGCTACATTACATTGAATAGATGACATACTTCACTGTTTAAATCCTTAAAAAGCAGTGTTTTTGTTTCAGTCACCAGGTTAAAACTGGTCTTTCAAGAGCAAGATGTGTGAACTCACTGGCCCAAGGCAGCATGGGAAGGTCAGGCTGAGAAGCTTCGGCCTAGTGGCTGAAGCAAAGCTCAAGGCCGCTGACCCCATGGTAGGTCAGCGAGTGGTGCCCTTGTCCGCGTGTGATGGGAAGTTACATCTGCCATCAGGAAAACATTCATGTCGTGTGGCAGGAGGCTGTGTGGCCAGGCTCCACAGCAGGACAGACTTGGTCAGAAGAGTTACTGTAAAAGTTGGCAGAAAGGCGCTCAAGCTTGTCTGCAGTGGTGGCATGTGCCAGTCTGTCACACTCAGGCCATTCGTTATAAGCGTCATTCTTCTATTTTTAGGAAACATTCAAGATGTGATATTGCAGGAAAATTTGGAAAAGGAAGATCAAATTCTGGTTTCTCTGGCAGGATTAAAACAGGTAGGCCTGAGGTTTGTGTCCCATGGGCCAATCTTTTGGTGCCTCCTGGGAGGGCACCCCATATAGCCCGTGCCCCTCCCGTCCCCCCACACCGATTCCTGTTCCCCACCTCCTACACCCCTGGCTCCTTCTACTGGTTCCGTCTGACTAGCTCACAGCCCAGTCGGTTTTCGATTTCCCAGCCCTGCTTTGCTGTCCCCAGACCCGTGTTCACCCATGCATTCACCAACCCTCGGAGCACACGTCATGACTCCGAATAGCAGGCCCGGCCCCTCACAGCCGCGTTGACTTAGCCCTGGAAGGAAGAAATGGGACATAATGTCAACGGAAAGGGCACGCTGCTCTCAGATGCCGCCACCTTGTTAACAGCCCAGGGCTGCGTGTGGGCTCATGGCGCGTCCTGTTCTAAGTTAACTGCCAAGGATGCAACCCCCCCCCACTCCACCCCCACCCTGTGCCTGACCCTGTGAGGAACTGGCCATTAAGAAGTTTCCCTTGATCATTAAAACGGCACTGACTTTGATAAAGCTGGAGCTGATAAAACTGGATCTTTTTTCTGTTACTTCTTTGTTATGGTGATATGTTCATATCCATTTCATTAAAAAATGACCAGTGACAAGTCTAGTTTAGTGTATTAGAGGTTTAGCCAGCACTGAAAGACAGACTCATTCATCTTTTTTATTTTTTTCTTCTTCTTTGAAAACAGATCAAAGACATTCTAAAAGGTTCCCTGCGTTTCAACCAGAGCCAGCTGGAAGCCGAGGAGAACGAGCAGATCACCATCGCGGACGACCACTACTGCTCTGGCGGCCAGGGCCAGGGCCAGGCCCAGAGCGGCCAGGGGCCCAAGGCCTCCGCTCAGGTACGGGCTCGGACTGGCACGTCACAGGAACACAGTGAGGGCACAGTCTCTTGCACTCTCCAGTCATGCGTAACAAAAAACTCCCAACCTGTCTCACCACTTTCCCAGAAACATGCAGGTAGTTAAAATGGTGACAGGCACCATTCCTACCCAGTCACAGACGTTGTACGTATTTCTCCTCTGCACCGTCTTGCTAAGTCTTCACTCTGAACACGATGCCACAGGCATCTTGGTACTTTGTGGTAGACTCACCATTGCTACATGGAGCAGCCCTCCACACGCTCCTTTTATTTTCAACCCCAGATCAGATCTGCTGAGCAGACCGTGTGGTGTGAAAGACCAGGTGGTCACAGTGGGACAGAACAACGGTCGGATGAACCAGGCTTTGGAGGTCAGAGGTCAGGCTGAAACCTGTGCAAGGCGAAGGCACGTCCTGTGCATCTGTGTGGGGGGAGAAGGTGCCAGAGACGGCCTTCTAAGCCTCCTTAAAGGTAACAGGTGCCCTTGGAGCGACGGTAACCAGGATGAACAGGACTGTCTCTCCCTCCAGGCACGAGGTCTCCAGCCAGGGGCCACGGGCTGCATAGCTCTTTGGTTTTGTACGAATATGTTGATAGAATATCAACAGTGTTGACTCTTGAAATACAAAGCCTGCAGTCCATTTCTGCTCTCTGACTACATGACTTTAAAAGGCAGGTGAATTGTCAGAGTGGGCACGCCCCTGATCTATTATTTAGAAAACATGAGACTTGAGAAGGGGCCTGTGAGTCGGACCCAGATTGCCCTCAGAAGGCGGCCAACTACCTCTCCAGCCGCGTCTAGAGACCAGCGGATCCAAGGGCATTTCCAGCCTAGGGACTCGGTACACCTGCTGAGACCTCAGGCCCCGCACCAGCTCCCCATGCCATGAGGGTGTCAGCCAATGCCAGCTTTGGGGACATATCTCTCTGCCGGGCTGCTATTTTGTCCTGCTTGCTCAGAAAGTGACTTGACTTCCTTCTCTGGTCTCAGCCCAGAGCCTTACCAGCTTCTGTAGATAAAAACCCAAAACGCTGCTTACAATTGCATAGAAAGAAAGGAAACATGTCAGTGACAGCAATTCCACCTCCATGCTTTTTGCCATTGCACTTTGCAGTTACCCTTCCTGGTTTGTGTTTGTAGAACCTGCAGTTACCACCATGCCCAGGGGCCCCCAAGCACATACCCAAGTGAGCTGTGTGAGGGAGTGTGAGATGAACTACTGAGGCCCTCCTAACAAGCTAGCCTCAGAATCGTGGAACCCCTGGGCTCAGGCAGTTCACGTCATACATTCTGTTCCTCTGCACAGCAACTCTCCCTTGGGCAGAGATGCTGTCCGTCACCCCATGTCAGGGACAACAGAACACAGCTCCCAGGAAGACGAGTGACTGGCAAGGCAGGCCCCACCAGAGTCCTGTTGACGGCCTCCCAGCTGGCTCCTGAGCGGGCTGCTCTCACCAGCTCATCCCACTGCAGGTTACCTTGTGCTCCTGGGAAAGCAACTTCAGTGTCAGAGGGGCTGGCACAGCCAGCTGGGCTTCAAAGCCACAGGCCCAAACCCTGTGTCTCTCCAAGGGGGAACGTGGGGCAAGAAGGCACACACTTCCCCGGGGCAGGCCCCAGCCCACAGGGCCGCCACTCGTTCCTCTCACCTCACGCGTTCTTCTCTCACCCTCTACTTCTCAGGCCTCTACAGAAGCACCAGGACACACAGACAGAGGGAGCTCAGACGACTTCATTCTGGTTTCCAGAGATGATGGGGGCATTGCTGGGACGCCATTCTCTGGGCAGGCTCAGCCTCTGCGCACCCTCAGAAGCACAGCCAGGAAAGGCGAGGCCCTGGCCCGCTTCCCACTGGTGTTTTCTGACCCACTGATGGGCCCCGCCTCGGCTTCCTCCAGCAACCCCAGCTCCAGTCCCGACGACGACAGCAGCAACCACAGCAAGGACTCGGGCTTCACCATCGTGAGCCCCCTGGACATCTGACCGCAGCGACCCCACCTTACCACCCCTCTCAGCAGCCCCCCCACCCTGCTGAGGAGCCCCCCAGTGGAGACCCCTCTGAAACCAACACTTCTTTTCCAGCGTGCACGTGGCGTGGTGGCAAACGGGGCCGGGGCCACTCGGCGCCCAGAGGTGCTGTCGGGCCTCACTGCCCCCACGGTCCTGGCTCTGAGTTAGAGCCGGTTAACACCGAGCGTCAGCCCACTGTCAGATAAAACCAACGCAATTAGAATCACTTTTCCTCTGTCCGCTCCTCTCCAGCTAAGGTGCGGCAACTGCACCAACACTATCTAGAAGAGAGAAGAGTTGGTTTCAAAGCTTCCTTTCCTCAGAACGTCAGACACAGGAAAATTAATTGATATCAAGAAAACTTTCTTTCTGGAAATCTGCGTCTCAGCCTTGGGAAGCCATATCACAGAGCCCAGTGCAATAGAAAGGACTAGATTAGTGGGCTCTGGCGCTCGTGGAAACCCGGTACTGAGCCCTGGAGGCAGGGCCTAAGCCTAGGAATCATAGTTGTGTGATGAGTGTAGAGTTCATTTGTTAAGGAACAAATCTAACCTCAGGCCAGACAGACTCTGCTCATCACGGTCCCTCCTAAAACAACTGTTGTTCGCCTTTTAGAATCTTACAGCCAGAAAACAAGGTCACTTTAAGCCAGTCTTTGCTGCACTGATTCTGAAAGTTATGAAAATGTTACTTCATGAATTGGAAAATGTGACCTCGACTTTATGGGATAAATATCTTTCAGAGAGTGGGTGGCCTGGTAAGGTTGCTATAGTTTGGGGACTGTATTTACCATCAACTGAGGAATAAAGAGAAAACCCAAGTTCATTGCCATCCAGAGTCAGCATCCCCATTCGGCCTCAGGGTGGCAGTAACAGGGAGTTAAAGCTGGAGTCCCTTCTGGGGGAGTTGGACTCCTTCGAGAACATTCCAGATGCCAGGAGGCTGCAGGATTTCTACACAGCCCTCCCTGGGAGCCACTTGCAGGCGCCCCAGGCCTGGCTCGGAGGTCACATCCCAGGCCCACTGCCAGGGCAGGCCCCTGTCTGGCCTGCGGTGCCTTTCTGGGTTGCAGCACAGAGAGATTCCCCCGCCTCCCTGTCTTCCCGTAAGGAGAAGGGCCCAGAGAAGGACCTTTCCCTCTCCTTTGCCTGCGCAGGCATCTAGCCTGGAGGAAATACGCCCACCCCTGCATCAGGGAGGGGCGGCCCTGGCCGGTGCCCGTCCAGTGAGGCCTCTCGCCAGAGCCTCCGTGGCAGCGGGTGAAAAACGAAGTAGAGAGAAACAGGCAGGGTTTGCCGCCTCCCACTGCCAGCCGCCACGTTTCCTCTATAGTCAGTGTGAGGATGGCGCGACTTCCCTCTCGCTGCTCTCCAGAGTGGCTCCTGCAGAGAGGATTCTAATTAGCGCTGCGTTGGCTCTTGAACTCTAGCAGGGAAACCTCCCCTGCAGTGTGTGAGGTGAATCCACGATGGCTCGGAGGCGCGCTGGGGAGTGCCCCGCGTCCTGCCTCTGAGAGGATGGCTTGGCTCTTGGGGAGACCCTCTGAGGGGCTACCACAGCGGAGTCTCCTTGAGCGCAGTCAGGCTGGCAGGTCCCCACGGGCAGTGGCCGCGCCCCTGCGTGGGGCTCGCCTTACTTCCTCTCAGAGCGCCTGGCTGGGAGGTGTTGGCACCTTGAGCCCTGAGGTGGGAAGTGTGGGCTCCGCTCCTGAGGCTCCAGGACAGACCAGGCCGGACCACAGCCCTCGCAGCTGCAGGCTTCCTTGGCCCGCAGGGTTAGAGTCGGGAGAGCCGAGGTCACCTCCCCCGCCGCCTCCGCCCGTCCTCCACGCTGTGCTTCCGTGTGGTATCGCGTGAGAACCAGTGGGGTCACTCAGAAGTGCTGCTTCTGTGACCCCCAACAAGCTGCCTCCTCCTCAAGGAAAGAAAACAAGCAAGGGGAAGGTGGGTGTGGGCCGTGCCAGCCTCAAATCCCACAGGCTCATGGGGCTGGAGATTTGTATTACTGGTTTACCTTTTTAAAGTGACTCTTTTTCCATAGTTGAGCATTTGCATTTTTTATTAGTTACAGTGCTGTTAAAGACTATATACTCCTTTTATGATTTTTACCGGGTACTTATGTTTAATTGCACTTTTTTAAAAATTCTGGATATATGAAACCTTTTTGTTTTCCTTTAACAAATGTAATCAGTGGAACCCACTCATACTTTGATTATTAGCAAGCAGTTAAATATATTTTATGTACGTAAAGACGATTATTTCTCATTGTCATCTACCTTTTTTTATACCTGTCCCTGGGTTTCATGCATTCCTCTGATCAGCTTGGAAATTTGAGTTACGGTGTATCTGTTCTATGAGAGTTGGACACTAGAGAAAGGAAGCTGTGATGACTTTGCCTTCGTAGGCCAGAGGCTCATGTAACACCTTAAATATCTGGTTACACCTGACCCATCAGTCTTCCAGAGATGACCTCCTGCTAATCACTGCTGACTGCAATCTGGCAAACAATAACAACACTACAGAGAGAACGTGACTGAAAATAAACCAGGACCTGCCTGCGATTTGCCTTCTCTGTACGCGACGGAGTTGAATCCTTTTCTCAGCCCTCCAGGGTCCGACTGCCTGCGGTTAATGAGAATGTCTCTCCTGCTTCTCCAGAGACAAGGAATAGTTAGAAAGCTCTGACAGTCAGGCTGTCTCCTAAAGCTGACCTGTTAGAGTTGACCCAGACTTATTTTGGTTTCTATTCTTTGCTTCTTTAAGAAGCTGCCCCCAGGGATCCTCACGAAGCAAGAGTGTGTGGGGGGCTTCGGCCCCTGGGGGGCTTCGGCCCCTGTTCCTAGTGCTCGTCGCCAGGAGCGCATGGCCTTTCCATCCTTTAGACCAGTGCACGCCGGCCTCTGACCCCCAAGTGTCCAGGTAGGACATTGCTGAGGCCACATCCGGGACGAGACCAGGATTGCAGCTGGCAAGCCGGGCTTCTCACAGGCCAAAACCGCTTCCTCAAGAGTTAGACAGTGTTAGACAGTGTTTAGACAGAGAAGAAATATAAAGTTCCTGTAAACAGGCCTGAGGCCACTTTGATGTAAAAAGTTCTCATAATTTTCCTCACAATGGCACAATTCATTTGATTTATGGGATACTCGGTTGTGCCATTTCTGTCCTATCGCTTTGTTCTCATTCATCTCTATGCTCTAATTCATATTGATTTCAGAAATGACTTATCCTTCTGGCAGAGTGCTCCCATTCACGATGGTGGTAATAAAAAGCTCATGTGAAACCGAGAATGGACTGACTTGCGCGGGCTGGGGGCAGGGCACGAGGTGCTGGCCAGGTGCTGACTGACCGGGCGGCCCGGGCGGGCAGAGGTGCACACCAGGCCAGCCGGCCGTGGGCCCAGCCCCTGCAGGGCCCAGCATGACCCGGGCCTCCCACATTCTCCAGTATGGGGCCTCGGCTTCCTCCCTTGCAAACGGGCTGCGGCCAACTGCCTCCTAGGCTGTTGTGAGGATTAAACCAGATCGAACATTGAAAGCATTCGAGACAGAGCCTGACGGCACTTTCAAAAGAAGACGCTTCGTTCTGGAAGAGCCCCTGGAGGTCTTGGGGTCCCAGGCTTGCCTGGAGCAGTGCACCCTGATTCCCGGCCTGAGATGCCTCATAGTGCCTCATGGGGGGCAGCCCTACAATATGCAGCAGCCCCCCCCCCACTGTCTTCCCTCAGCACCAAGAAAATAGTGTCACACACCCAGCTAACATGGGGTCTGGTGAGAAGGCCACAGGATGGGGGGACTAGGGGACAACACGGCAGATCTTAAATAACGGACTGGAAAGTGAGGGGCTGTCTAGCTTAGGGGGAGCAGTGAGCCAGGCTTCACGCGTTTGGTTCCATCCCCAGCCGAGGCCAGGTGGGGACTCCTGCTACCCCAGACCAGCGTCCATCACTTACATTGCCACCGG